CCATTCCCAGACGTTTCTATTTTATTTTTCGTATTTTATGTGGAGTTTCGAGACTACCAGTAAATCAGTATTATGAGATGTATTCATCCAATTTCGTGTAAGCTGATAAATGACTTGTAGTAGAATTTTCATACAATGATGTGAGTAGAGCTGACGTTTCCATTCAATTTCACATGACATTGCTTTCCCCAAAGTTGTTCTCATCCAGGCACCAGTGGACTGCGGTCCACCAGAACAACTTTTGGGAAAGCAATGTCATGTGAAATTGAATAGGAACGTCAGCTCTACTCATATCATTGTATGAAAATTCTACTACAAGTCATTTATCGGCTTACACGAAATTGGATGAATACATCTCATACTACTGATTTACTGGTAGTCTCGAAACTCCACATAAAATACGAAAAATAAAATAGAAACGTCTGGGAATGGGAAAATTCAACGATAAAATGCTGAAAGTTATCACAACTTCTCTGCCAGTCTGGGAATTTTGCAAATACGAGATCACCTAAACTCTACACATATTTAGACGATATGAAGACCAAAATGGTGTTGCCTCCGGTATGGTCGCGGTCTCCTTTCGATGTGTTGGGATGAGATGGCCTCGTTTTGGCAACTTGGTCTTGTTGCCAGGGCGACTCAGTAGAACGCTATAGGAGAGTCGCCCTGCCAACAAGTCCAAGTTGCTAAAACGAGGTCAACCCACTTCTAAACATATTTGTCGTTTGTGCCTGACCCTGTGATCTAAGGGCTCTCGTTGGCGTGTCGAGATTATACGCTTCACTTATACGACTAGGGTTCGAGTCCCGCTGGGGTGCTGATTAGACCAGGTCAGGGAAGGTTGAGACTGCAGTCCACTCTTGTGTGGATGAAAATACCCTTCGGGAAAGCAAGGTTATGTGAAATTGAATGGAAGCGTAAAGCCTACTCGTAGGTTTGGGGTAGAATTAAAGTACCTGTCCTTTATCACCTTACACGAAATAGGGTGTACTTACCTAAAAAATACGCAATACATCGAAAGGCAACAAACACCATCTTAGTGTTGATATTTAAGTTTAACTAAAATAGAATAAGGTGGGTTACCATTTTTAGATGTTATTCGATTCGTATAGTTTTGCTTTGTTTATATACTCAAGTAGGATATTTTTTTAGATTTTGATAATGAAATTCATCTACTTTTTCTAGTTTCGTATCATGAATATGTTTTTAGTTGATAATTGGATTTTACTAAAAAGCATATGAGTAAATGTGTTTCGATGAATCTCCTGAGATGACATTGTTGTGGAGACGGTCGTTTTATGTGAAAGCGTGTAGGATGTAGATAGATATGCTCAGAATACAACTGACTTCCATTGTTCTGCAACCATTTGGCTTTTGCATGACATTACGGTTGATGCAGTCCACGAAACATCCTCTCTCATTCAGAGTAAAAACGGTCTGGTTCGTCAAATTATTTGATGGAAATCCTCAGATCTGGAATCCATTCTCGTAAAAGCTCCAAGTCAGCACTACTTACATGCTACTTATGTACTTAAATTGAAGACGAACATATAAAGATAGATAATGATTTGGTTGGTTCCTCTTCATATTACTAAGTATGTATACTTAAGTATATTAAATATATTGTTAGAGCAAATATAATTTTGCTTCATCTACAATCCCACCACAGAATGAGATATGTGAAAAAAATAAAAAAAATAAAAATATACATGTGTGTGTGTGCGCGTGTGTATGTATAAGCGTGTGTACGCGTCAGATGGCTAAATACCGGTCCTAGCGCTAAAAGTTGATGATAATACTGTTATTATTCGAGATCTACTCGTAGCATTAAAGCCAACTAGATGAGTAAATTAAGTAGAGCTTATTTCTGCAGTGTCGACGCGTGTCTATTTGTGGGATTTCATGTTTGCTGTGTCTATAAAATCTTTCCTTTTCTTAGAGCAGTTGGTTGCCTTGCTATTTATATTGACTGCCTAATCTTCTGTTTAGCATTTCAACTTTTGCAGGGGATTTTATGTCCAAAAATGTTTGATCGGTCTCTCTAACATAAACTTTCTAACATGAACACAAGACCTGATAATAACTTGGTCTGAGGAGAGGATCCATTAACTCTCAAAATGAAGGCATCACCCTTTGCACATTCTTCTAAGGCTTCCCTTTTTCATTGACAAATCTATCTTTGTAAAAATCCCATGTTTTCAAAATTGTTTCACAATATCAGTAAATCATAATAAATAATTGATAATGAACAGTTTACACTTATTACTATTGGACAACTGTTACGAATTAAATTTTGCCTCCAACTTTCCAAATATTGGTCTCGTTTATTTTATCTTCAAGCAATATAAGTATCAATATCATAGCCGAACAAATATGATTAAAAATTAAATTTTTTTTGGGTTTTCTATAAATATTCCTATCCATTTTTTTGTATTGGTTACTAACGAGGACAATCAAAGGTGTTGCTTATCATCCTTTTCTTATTCCATTTATTCACCCAATTTACTTAAGGACACATTTAAGACTCTCGTTGCTATGTTGCCAAACAGAAAGTTAGTTGTGCTTGTATTAACATACCAACTCAGGAAATAGAAATGTTGCCCAATGTTCTGCGAAAAGAATGTAAGAATGGCAGTCAGTTTTAAGGAATTCTGTCAAGTAGCATTAAAAACGAGAGGTTATCGAGTTTTTCGCGATACTAAAGCAGTTTGTCTCAAGAACTGTGTCAACCGAAGTTGCATGTAAAATCAGCCTACAGCAATCCCATGCGGTCTTTTGACAAGTTGTATTTGTGTGAGCATCTACTCCATACCCTCCCACCCGAAATGAAATTGGGCTGAACACACTTGACTGAACAGACGCATATCTGTAACGAAACGGAACTGTAAATGTTTCATTTTGTGCACAATACATAATGAGCTAGTAGCTTTTTGTAAAGTTCTTTCCTCGAGCAAGATGTGGTTCTGCTACTAAATTGTCTGTGAACAAAGAAGGTCAATCCGGGAGTAAACTCGTTCTTTGTCGAAATAACACTGACCTGACCTGTTACATTGTGTTAATTAAGGTTAAGGAACGCTTTTTCAGTCCAAATAGCATTTTATAAGCGATCTTTGTCTTTATTGTCACTTTAAATTGCTTGAATTATACCAGCATAAATGTACTACTTACGCGCGATTTAAGTAGCTAAAATGGGTTATTTCTTTAAATGATCGCTTTGATATGGTAAGGCACAGAAACCATCTTACCGGCTCGAGAAATGTTGTCTCATTTAGCGTTCTGCCTATCTTTTTTGTACTTTTCACGTGAACATGATCTATTGCGAAGCAGCAAGAGCTATGCATTTTATCTGAATAGATAGTAAGAAAAAGTACGATCTTTCTGGTAGATTATCTGCATAGTACTAGTGCCTGCTGTTCACGCTGACGAGGGGCCATCGTTTGCTTGTGAGGAGAGAAATGGCATGAGCAGTTTAGTTGGTACAGCCCTTAATTGCACGTTGAAGGCGACCAGTTCGCGTCCACCTGATTGGTTCAACTTCCCATCGGCTAGATGGTACCACAGTCCGACATCGAGAGATGCTTCAAGGGCCCAACTTTGATGGTATCTTTTACTCATGCGAGGGTAGTGTGGAGTGATGGGCGGGTCCTTTTTTGGCGTGGATAGGCAAGAATGGGAAAATAGTTCCATTACAAGAAGCTGACGGAGACGAACTTGAACAAAGCCAAGTGAGGAGACATACTTTACAATGCTTTATCAACTTGCAAATAAAATAGAAACATTTATTAAATATAAAGCATAAAGGCGTAGGCGGAACTTCAGGGAAAATTCTTAAACATTAGACTGGTATTAGCAGAAAGATGATACATTTCAATTCATCTCATCTCGTCGTATTAATTTGATCTGATCTCAACTCATCTAAGCTAATTTAAACTAATATAATCT